TTCTTAAGCTTGGCTATCCATCATTAAAAATTTGTTCAGGAGTTTTCTCGTATTTCTTTGCCTTTGAAAAGACTTAGAAGTTATAAACTTTCATATGAACTTTGGAGTGTGAGGAGAGTTTTTAGCTGCTAAAAGATTATTTAACTTCTGTTTTGATTTTGACTAATTTTTTCGTGTACAGATGAATTTTAAGTTTTCAATGATGCTTTATTAAAAGAATTGGGATGTATACTTATGCGGCACGATAATGTTATTACACACGCATCTCAGCAGTTGAAACCTTATGAGAAAAATTCTAAAACACATGATCTTGAGTTAGAAAATGTGGTAATTGCACTTAAGATTTGCAAGCATTACTTGCACAGAGTTAGATGTAAAATCTTTATTGATCATCAGAGTTTAAAGTACATATTTTTTCAAAAGGATATGAATTTGAGACAGAGAAGATGGCTCGGTTTCATCACGGATTATAATCTATTTATTCAGTATCAGTCTGCCAAGGTAAATGTTATGACAGACGTGTTAAGTAGAAAGTCTTCGGATACTTCTCTTTCTTTGCTTACTTACATAGACTTCCTTATTTGAGATTTGGAGAACCTAGAGATAGAGATAGGATCAACTAATACATGTCCAAATTGGTTAACTTAAATAATTATTCATCCTATTATACATGAAAGAATTCAGGAAGCTCAAAAGTTAGATACATAGTATCTAAAATTGAGTGGTTCGATTAAGGTTGGTAAAAGACCTAAACTTTTCTTATCTGATTCCGAAGTCATTTTATATAAGGATATATTGTGGGTTCCTTCTGTTGGTGGAATGAGAGCAGAGATTCTATATGAGACACATTATTCATACTATATTATTCATCAAGGAGTAGCAAGATTTATAAATATCTGAAATGTATATTTTTGTGGTCTAGATTGAAGAAGAATATTATAGAGTTTATTTTAAAATGTGAGACATATCAGTAAGTGAAGTTAGAGCATCAACGACTGGGTGGTCTTCTACAGTAATTACATATCTCTAAGTGGAAATGAGAAGAGGTGGCAATGGATTTTATTATGAGTTTTTTTTCTAGATCGAGACAGGGGCATAATGACATCTAGGTTATTATTGATCGACTAATGAAGTCTACACATTTTATTCAAATTTGATAGATTGATATGGTAGATAGGTTGACACTTATTTATATCAGGGATATTATTATATTGCATAGTGTATAAAAGGTGATTATATCCAATCGCGACAATCGGTTTACCTCTAGGTTATGGAGAGATATTCAACAAGGATTGGGTATAAAATTATACTTTATTTTTTATAGAGGTGGGTGACAGATAGGTGATATGATCAATTGTTTTTATGATACTATAATAAAGATTAATCTGGTCGGAAAAAGATTGAGAGATGCATAAGATAGGTAGTAGAATTATTATGATATGAAATATAGGTTGGAGAAAAGTTTAAGTGGTTGATTTATTTATGTCAAAGTCAGACTGATGAAAGGTGTCAGCATATTTGGAAGAATTAATAAGCTTAGTCTAAGGTACGCTGGATCTTTTGAGATTGTTGAGAGAATTGATCGTTCTGCTTACATAGTGTCTTTGATATATCGTCATTAAGGAAGTGAGTATATGATTTTAGAAAGAGATTATATGGTAATGACATGAGAATTCATTTTGAGTATGTATTATAAAGATCTAGATAGGATTCTGTCATATGACGTGAGGAAATTGAGGAGTAAATAGATTATGATATTTAAGGTGCAGTGGAAGCACATGATCGCCAAAGATTGGGAGAAGGAATCTAAGATGAGAAAGCTAAATTCAAGCTTATTTTGACTTATTTTGATCTGAGAATATCGAGGATGTCATTTTTGAAGGTGGGTGGATTATTATAACTCAAAATTTCACACAAAAATATTTTTTTCCTAAAATAGTAAAAATATTTTTTCCTTAAATAGTAAAAAATATTTTTAGAGCCATATTAGTCCAAATAATAAACTGTCTTTATACATATATTATGTTTTAATTTCACTATTTTTTCATAATTTTTGTGAAGTGGTGTAATTCTAAGAAATTGGTATATATTGGTACAATGGGTTTTTTGGGACAATTATGTATTCGTATTTTAAATTGATTTCACCCGATCATTCAAGGCATGCTTAGCTAACTTATGAATATTTTTTTATAATTTTTAAATCTCTAAATTTGAAGATATAAAAAAGATTATATGATTTTTATATTTAAATGGCATACTTACTATTTTAAACTTAATATATTTATATATTATCATATTAGAAAATCTTAATCCGCTATTAATATTATTAATTTCCATTTCTTTATTTTGTTTCCAGCAATAGAGAATGATACTAGAAATTTAAAAAATATAGAGGAGAGAGAAGAAGAAAAGCAAGGGTTTTACGATCATAGAATCATATTTTGTCTATCGGTCTAGTTGAGAAATTTGCTCATATCGATGTAGGTTAATTTTTGCCTATTTTAGTTTTGAATAATTAGATATTTTTTAGGCTTCTTTGATCAAATTTGTATTTCTGTTACCAAAAAATAAGAATAAATTTATTTTGGTAAAACTTTTATCATGTAATTTTTAATATGTTATAAAGATTTAGATTATGAATATTTTGAGTGTATTCTAATTTTTTTTTTTACTTGTGATTTTAAAAAAATAGTTATTTTTTCTTATTCAAATTTTTTTTTTTTACATCTAAAAATAGTTCTTTAGTTCAATTAAAACTTAAGTATTTATGTTGTCTACCATTAAAGCATTTTAATCATTTCAGAATTTAATCCAATTATACTTTAATTAATGAAATGTATAAAAAATGTGAAGAAAATGTGATATGATATGATACGATGTGATGTGATGTTATGTTGGTGCCATTGGGTGATCGTTATGGGGTTTTGTTATGTCGTCCCAATGGATGACTGACGTGGGATTCTATATTATGCCGACAGCAATGGGAGACCAAGGTGGGATTATGTTATGTCGATGCAAGTGGGCGACCATGGTGAGATTCTATTATGTCGAGGCTTACGAACTACTGAGGTGGGATTTTCTTAACGAAGCTATAAATATATATAAAAATTTGGGCTAAGAGCTATTCTGATAAAATAAATGTCTGCTTATAATTCATTTGGTTTTAGTACATTTTCCTAAATTATTAAATTCTTTTAAATGCTTATATGAAGTTCAATTTCAGTTTCTTCTTCAGTTTTAGTTTAATTTTTTTGAATAGTACTTCAGTTTATCTTACAACATAGTACTTTCAGTTTTTTATATGTTTTAGGCTGTGATATTCTATTGAGCCATATTAGCTCACTCCTATTTTTGCTTCCATTTTCAGGCCAAGGAAAGGGTAACGAGCAAGCTGAGTAGTTTTGGAGAACAAACTCCAACATGTGTTGTAGGTATGTTTTTGTTAGTTTTATTTTTTGCAAGCTTGGCTTTGATCTTGTTATTTTCTTTGTTATCAAGCACTATTATAGATATCTCAGATAGTGTATGTATTTTTGGATGATATGTAGAAAATCATTTTATAGATTCAGTAGTTTTCTACTTTATATTGCATTCAATAGTAGCTCTATGTAGTATATAAGTGCTTTTTCAACTAGATCTTGGGTTTAATTTTGTCACAATCGGATATGGTATTATATGTGCGTAGTATCAGGTCAGGTTATGACACCCTTGATTTTAGTTGTGTGACTACGGTCCCTTTAACCTCCATCACCCGATTAAGATTCCTTTGGCCACTATTACCCGTTGACTGTGGTCCTTATGACTATCATCTATCGTCGACTATGATCCATCTGACCTTTATCACCCAACAATGGTCCTTCCGACCTCTATTGCTCGTTAACTATGGTCCCTTTGACCCTCGTCCCTTGCCGACAACAATCCTTTCGACCTCAATCACCCGACAATGATCCCTTTGACCCCGTCATCTGACTACGGTCCTTTCGACCTCTTTCTACCAACTACGGTTCCTCCGACCACCGTCGTTCACCTATTATGGTCCCTCCATTCTCAGTTATCTGACGATTAAGATCCCTCCGACCACCATCGTATGACTATGATCCTTACGACCTATTTCACCCGCCGACCATGGCATTCAAACCACCATCACCCAACTGCGGTTCTATCGAGCAAATGTAAAGGCCATTATTCTCTTGGGAACTACTCTCACATCATTAGATTCATTCAGCTTCAATTATGTAATGTGCTCTATATGATGTATATTTACTACATCGAGCCAGCGTCTTCTCCCGAGGAAGATCATCATTTATAATTAATGGAAATACTCTAGTGGAATCATTTCAAATAGGTAAGATCCTGTGATTATTTTTGTTTAGGGTTTCTGATGACTCTTACCCTCTTTATTATCTCTATATGTTGGATCTTCATATAAAACTAGGATGTTAAATTTTTCATCTCTCTATCGTCGTGAATGTCCTGACGCACAACAAATCTCAAATTTTTATGTTTCATAATATTATTTTAAAAATAAATATTATAATTATTAGTTAAGAATAGCCTATGAACAATCACTAAATTCAAGAAAATCTAACTCGAAGTATTTCACAAATTCCACATTTATAAGCACAAAGTGCTAAACGAGGCAAACAAACGCTCTTACGATATCTCTGCGGATATGTCGTATCCTACATTTCTCACACTCTCACCTCTCTTTGCAACTCCCTGATTTGCGAACGACCCTTACTAATCTTACCCCGCGGTTCTTCTTACCGTTACCATTCATAGCTTAAAATCAAAAGCTTTCAGCCACGACAACCAGAGAAGGGAAATTTAATCGAGCTCGCTTGCTCTTCAATTCAAATCCAACCCAATTCTCGAGGAGGAAGAAGAAAGATGATATTTGATAAACGCTCAGATCTCTCTTTCCCCGAGTTCTGATTTTGGTCGGATTCAATCATAAAGTCGGAAAAAACACTGAGGAAACCATAATCGCCCTTCATTCTCTTCTCTAATCCAATCCGAATCCATTGGATTTTTTTATGGCTGTAGCTTCGGAGGCGCCTTTCCATGTTCTTGCAGTGGATGACAGCCTCATTGATAGAAAGCTTATTGAAAGACTCCTCAAAACGTCGTCTTTTCAAGGTTTTTAATTGAGAAATGGGCATTTTGTTCCATCGCGTATGCTTTTCAGCAGATTTTGCAGTTATTTTAATTGGCTTTTCTTCGTTTCAGTGACGACTGTAGAGTCAGGAAGTAAGGCGCTTGAGTTCTTGGGTCTCCGAGAAGATCTAGAGAGACCATCTTCTGCTACTTCTTGCCAGCATGTAAGAATTTATTAATCTGTTCGTGTAATTTATGGAGAAAATTTAGGGATTTTTTTCTATGTCTTGGCGGATTTGTTTAAGATGGATTTTTTTTTTTCTCGTTTTGTGGATTTCAGGAGATTGAGGTCAACTTGGTTATTACAGACTACTGTATGCCTGAAATGAGTGGGTATGATCTTTTGAAGAAGATCAAGGTGAGTTTTTTTTTTTCTTTATCTGTTTTTCTCTCTCTGGGACTTAATAAATATTGTAAATTTAGATTTCTATTGTAAATTTAGATTTAGTAAATCCCGAGGTGTTGAATTTTGTGAATTGTTTTATATATATATAAAATCATTTTTTTTCTTGACATTTGAAATGCTAATTTTTTATATATTATTGGGCATCTGTTTTGATATTTTAGATTAAAGCGATGGAGAAATAATTAAATTTGTAAATTCTATGAATGATCTGATTTAATAAAATTTGAAGTTTATCAATAAATAAATTATATGAGAGTCATCAAAGTTTAAAATCTACGGATTTATGATGCATAGAGGCTTGATGATGTTGTTTATATTTAGGTTTCATTTGGGGTGGCTTTCTTAATGGTTTTTAAAGCATCATTTTAGTACAAAAAAAATTAATTTTATGTTAAAAAATAGTTTTAATTAAAATGAGAGTCATGGAAGTTTAAAATCTGCGGAATTCCGTTTAACAGGAAATCTTGCTTAAATTTGTCTAAAATAAGATACCAAACAGCCGCTCGATATTGCTCACGAATGACTTATTAATTTCGATATTTAATCTGTAACCCTAAAAGACGTGTAGAAAATATTTATCTAAATATTAGAAATGATATTTTTATTAGATTTGAATGAGAATTTCACTCTTAACAAAATATAATTAAAAAAAGATTTATAGTGGATAGAGGCTTGATGATGTTGTTTATATTTAGGTTTTATTTGGGATGGCTTTCTTAATGCTTTTTAAAGCATCATTTTAGTACAAAAAATTTTAATTTTTGTATTTAAAAATAGTTTTAAGAAGCAGTAAGAAAGTCATCTCTAATGAAGTCTTAGGCTTCGTTTGGAAAGCTTTCGTACTGCTTTTCAAAATAGTTTTTTTAGTACAAAAATTTTAAATTCAAGAAATTTTTTACTAAAAATTTGTTTTAAAAAGCAAGAAGAAAGCCGTCTTAAACGAAGTCTTAATCTCTAAAGAGATTTTAGAAGACAGTATTCGTTATGTGGCCAAAAAATTATTTGATGAAACTTAAGGTAAGGTTTTATTTGGAACAGTTTTTGGACAATACTTTTTCGCTATTTTTAAGAATATTTTACTCTAAATTTTTTTTTTTTTATGAAGCAATAAAAAAACGTCTCAAATATTTTGTAGCCAAACAGCTCCTCATTCATTAAAAATATTGAATTTTGTTGTTAATGTCATAAATGAATCGATTATAGAGACTAATGGATATGTTTTTATTGGTGATTGATTCAGGAATCATCAGCTTTTAAGGATATTCCAGTTGTGATAATGTCATCTGAGAATGTGCCGTCAAGGATTAACAGGTGAGAAGCTGCTCCCTTTCAAAATAATTTATATTCACGCAACATTACAATAAAGCTTATGTTTAGGGCTACAAATTGAGTATTATAGTAATGCTCAAAAGTTCATTCGAATTTGAGCTTGTTTGCAACTAGAGTAAGGATCTGTTCGGGATGGCTGCATCATTTTATAAAGTTGGTTGCAAAGTTGTTGTTGAGAATATAACTTTGATATTATGATTGCAAAAAATAGTTTTTCACCGTAAAATTTTTGATGAGCAATGAGAAAGCAGTAGCCAAATAAAAATATTGGTTGTTTGAAAAACAAAGCAGTCAAAAAGCTGTCCGAAATGAAACCTTCGCATAATAAATAAATAGTATTCAATGAATAATAGTATACCCATAATACAATTCATTGTAGAATTTGATATCAAAAACATGAATTGCATGAAAATTTAAATTATTAAACTTATTTAAAATAAAATGTAATTTTGACATATCAACAAGAGAAGCTTAAAAATTTATGCATTACATAAAAACAGTCGAAATTGTTTAATAATTCCTATTTATATGTATTATATGGCCTCACTCTGTCAAATTTAGGAATTGGAATAAAGGAGAAGTGTTGTCATTTCTATCTATGCTCTTTTGTTATCTGTCAAAATCCGAAGATCTGTTGTTTTGCTCTTTTATAGATTTTATTCTATCCTTATGTAAGAAAACTCATATTAATAGTCTTAAAATACCTTTTCCTGATATGCAACTTGAATTTCTTGCTTCTTTATGCGTGTTGATCACAGATGCTTGGAAGAAGGAGCTGAAGAATTCTTACTAAAACCAGTAAAACTATCCGATATGAATAAGCTTAGGCCTCATATGCTCAAAGGAAAATCTAAAGAGGACCAGCAGAGAAGCAATAACAATAATAATATTGACTTCAGCACTATTAACAGTGGCAGCAGAAACAATAAAAGGAAAGCTAATGAAGAAGGGCTTTCACCTGAGAGGACAAGGCCAAGATTCTCAAATAACACCACTAATAGCTTAACTGTGTTGTGATACTTGAAAATATTTTACAAATCTGTCTTATTTTCTTCTTTTAATTCAATTTTACTGTGATTGAATTTCCACATCATTTTTAAGATGTTTGTGTGTATATAATGGAGTTGTCTTTGAAGGAGAAGAATAAATAGATGGATTTATCTGATCACTCTTTTTTTTTTCTCTGAAGGAGAGGGTATTGGATGCAAAGTGCTGTATATTCTGCCATGAACACAGGAAGAAGAGCACTCAGTTAGACTTCTAAAACTATATGCTGATTAATGGGTTGCTAATTAGCCTTAATATACATTTTTTATGCATGAGTGTGGATCTATGCTTCAGTTCAAGAGCTTAGTTTTGAAATAACAAGTCGAGTTCTTTCAGAAAGCTGAAACCAACTGTTCGTTCAAACAATCGGACGAGAAAATAAAGCCGAGATGAATAATTTTCTAGATCTGAACTTCTGAATGTGCCCGTAGATTCTTTATTAACCTTACTATCTCGTTTTAATTTGACTAATGTTGGTGTTTAACTATTTATTATTCTGCATGGCTTAGTTAGGAAGCATTATATCATTTTTAAAATACCCATTTGACAGTTAATCGAATAATCAGCAAAAACTAAGTATCAAGTTGTGATGTTTAGTTTAGTTCAAGGTTCACAAGTTGATATAATATCAGTAAAGTTATTTTTGAAAATTTAATTATAATTTTTATTTATAAAGAAGAGGGTTATTTATGTTAATATTAAAGGGGTTGTATTGTTGGATGTAAAGTGAGTGTAGAGTATTTCAAATGCAGGAATTTCAAAAATATTAATGTTTGATTGGATGAAAAATGAATGTAAAGTAAACTAATGTAAATGTACTGTAAACCATTTTAGGGGTTATTTGATTGCCAAAAAAATGAATGCAATGTAAAGTGGATGTAGTGTAAATGAAATGCAGTATAAAATCAATACTTTAGAGTTTTTTGGATGAGTGTAAAATGAATGCATTAGATTACTTTTTTTTTTGTTGCTTGAAGTAAAATGAGTGCAATGTAAAATCTAAAGAGGGTGGTGGTCAGTGGTGGCAACCAATGGCAAATGCGGTGGTTGTCGACGTCGGTGTTCGCCAGCAAGGGCAGTGGTAGCAGTAGATAGCAGGTGGCGGAAACTATCAGTGGCGGTGAGCTATGAGTGACGACGATAGTGGTCGTCACTCCGACAGGTAGTATTTGGTCGAAATGGGCGATGGCTGGCAGCGATTGTTGCAACCACTACAGGAAAAATGCCGAAATCCGGCGGTTAGTCTATATTAACCAGCGGTTTTTTGGACTACCGGCGGCTTTACGGCGGTTTTTTGGCCGCCTGAAAAAATCGCGTAGGAAACTTTCACCGGCGGTTTATGTTGGCGGCGGTTTTCCGGCTGCTTAGACCACCGGTTACAACCGGATTTTGGACCGGCGGTTTTTCGGCCGTGACGCCGCCGGTTATTTGACCGACGGCTTACCGGCGGTCAATTTACCGACGGTCCTTCGGCGGTTTAGTCGGTCGTCGTTTGTTTTTAAAACCGCCGGCAAGCGCTGGTAGACCGCCGGTTTCTTTACCGGTGCTAGACGGCGGTCTAGCCGTCGGTATTACCGACGATCAAAACCGTCGGATGTCCACCGTAACACCGCCGGTGGCCGTCGGTAACCGCTGGTAATAAACCGGCGGTGTAATGCCTTTACCGGCGGCTGATTATTGGCCGTCTGGTATCGTAGTTTCCGGCGGCCAAACCGCCGGTTAGCCGCCGAAAACCTGTAACACCTGCAAAAAAAAAATGGACAGCATCCCCTCTATTTGAGGGAGGTTCACCCTAAAGTCTAAACCTGCAGAAAAAGCAAGATAAGTTGGGCAACACGCCGCTATATTCATCAGAACCATAAATTAAAAATACAATCACAAGCTCATCATAAGATTACAATCACAAGTTCACAAGTAAGTTCATGATAATGTTACAATCACAAGTTCAGAAGTTCACAAGTTCTAATTAATACAATCATCAAACATAAAAAATATCTAATCATCATCTATATCCTCACTGTCTGCAGATGGCTGCTCCTATTGGTCATTCTTCCTCTATTTTTCAGCTCTGTAGGATTGCAACTCTGCTTGCATTTCATTCTGAACCTTTCTCATTTCTTCAATCTCTCTAGATTGAATCCTTTTCATCTCTTCAATCTCTCTAGTAAGCGCTGCAACCCTCTCGCTTACAGATTCTTCAGCTCCACTTGGATCATGAAATGCAAAGGTGTATGAACTGCCCTCAATAGCAAATGCCTTTCTCATTTCTTGATATACCCTCCCCCTCTGTCTTCCACCAACAACTTCTGACCATGTCTGATACTCAGAAATGTGGGCCGATCCAGAAGATGATCCATCGCCAGTGGACTGCCGACTTTCTCTAGCTCGTACGAAATCATTCTGTGACTTACAATTAGTTTTATTAAAATAAATTTTTATTCTAAAACTC